GACCGCTGCTCGTCCCTCCGTCGCTTTCGACGATTCCGCTTGCGGTCGCCGAGTGCGCGGCGTTTCCTCCCGTGCCAGCCGCGCTCGCCCTTCACGGCCCTTGACTAACCGAAAATTCGTCGTGAAAGAGCTCGAGCTCTCAGCGTGAAGCAAGCGCGCGAGTGCTGCCGCGGAACTTCGGAAGCGGAATGGAGAGCGCGCTGCGTTTCGAGTTGTCGTTCGACTAACTGTGCGACGAGTTTGAGCGGGAAGAAATGCTCGTGCGAAGTGCCGTGCTGAGACGCGAGCAGGTAAAAGAGAAGAAACTGACCGTCGGAGGAACTCGTCGGGGCTGTCGCACTTGGCTCGCCCTTATTTCCCTTTTCTTCGGCGCGCTCGAGGGAGAAAGAGATATCGGACGATCGGAGCTGTTATGTAACGAAAAAGTTCGTGCGGTTTTGTACATTGAAAATCAGAGGGCGGGAGTTTCCGGGAAAAGATGTCACGATTGATACCCGAATTAATAGTCGAGAACTCGTCGTCATCGGTATCCTCCTGGTGGATCCTCCTGGACGTGGTGCGTTTCTTTCGAGCGCTTCGTCGCCAGCGGAGAATTTTTTTCAAACCACTTCCGTGTGCGCTCCGTTCTCTCAGCTCATCTTCTCCGAGTGCCGCGCGCGCATCTTGCGACGAGCTTCCGCGGCTTAGCCGGCTTTAAATTCCCAAAGCAAACATGCTCGGTTCAAGGGACAAAAGGGTGAGTGAGAACAGTCACGAACCAAGGGAGCAAGTCTCGGGAAGATTCGCCGGACTCGTTGCATCGGACACGAGCAACAATCGCGCGAACTTTCTCGGTCACCCAGTACTCCGAACGCGTTTCCGCGATCCGCCTGCCCCGGCTAATAAGATTCTCCGGTGCTCGCGCGAGCGACACTCGGCGGAGTCCTTTTTCCCGGGCGTTCCTGCGTCAGCGCGTCAGCTCTCGCCTCGCGTTTTCCTACGCGACGATAATAGCGTTTCCGCGATCGAGCCTCGCGGTCCTTGACAGAGACGGACCGCGTGAGACGCATCGCCGAGAGCCGGCGGCAGGGAGGGGAGGGGAGGGGCCGCGAGGAGACGAGAATACACCGACGACGGCGACGACGGCGCTTCGTCCTCGTTTCCACGGCGCGGCCCTCGCGCCGCGCAGTCTGTCTTCGTCAGGGACCGCGTCCGATGTTCGCGCGCGCGCGCGTGTGTGTGTCACGTACGTGAGGACGTCGGATTTCACGTCGCGAACCCCCGCCCGATAGCGAGTCCTCGCCGGCGATAGCAGGCTAGGGTTGCCAGATGGCCGGGATGATCTCCGGGAATGTCCCGAAATTCTGAAGCTTGCCCCGCGCCCAGGGATGTTTGAGTCTTCCGCCGTCCCGGAAAATGAAAATTTCCACGAAATCATAATCGTAACATTCGTGTTTCTAACTGGTAAACAGCGGAGAGAGAAACTTGAGAGCGGCCATCGCGATTTATAGGTTCGAATTTCTCGACGTGCCACCCGAGATAATTGATTCAACTGGACGATTGTCGCGATAAGAAATAAGAAAGTCGCACGGACCTCTCTCTGCTGGTCTACCTAATTCACGCATTTTGTTTGCCGCGGGTGCGGCGTCTCTTAGCCGTCTCTCTCTCTCTCTCTCTCTCTCTCTCTCTCTCTCTCTCTCTCTCTCTCTCTCTCTCTCTCTCTCTCTCTCTCTTAGTCCTCCATCTTTGAAATTTAACTAAAATTCTCTAACAACCTACTTTTCAATCGTCGCCTAAAAAATGTCCCGGAAACAGTCGTTTCGCGTCTGGCAATCCTAGATATCACCACGCGTCGGCGGTGCCGTCGAATGTGCGCTCTCGGATTCCGTTCTCCTGTGCGAAACAGCCGTGCGGATCAACGGCTGGCGACGATAATTCTTGTCTCGAAGCCGCGCGCGATTGCAGCCGTTCGTTGCGCTCGAGACGCGTTACCGCGGACTTTCGCCGGACTCTTGTCTCTTCCCTCGCGAGTCACATTTCGAGAAGTCTGTCTCGCAAGATTCGAAGTATAACAGCGAAGAACGGTCGAAGATGCAAAATTGCGGGCCAGCTGTCTCGAGAAATTTTAACGACACGGAGATACGATCGCCTCGTTTCTCGCCAGAAAATCGCTTATTATACCAGTCAAATAATATATTGTTCATGGTACGTTTTTCTTATCTGCACGTTGCTAAAATTACTTGCAAAGAGGCAAAGTGATGAGTCGATTGACTCGTTTATTAGCATCCCAACACAGACCTAACCTAACCTAACTTAACCTGCAAACGTATGTAGCGTTAAATAAAAACGAGTACGTTGAAAAAATGTCTCGACTATGACGCACTTTTCTTACGCTCAGTGACGCATAGAAGAAAAAGAGGTTGAAAGGCGAGAGAGATTGATTCGCGACAAGTGAGTCTCGCGAAAAGTCTAAACGCTGGACGCGGACGCGATTCCCTTATCCGTACACCGTGGGCTAAAA